TGTGGCAAATGGGGAGCCGAAATCGGAAAACAGAAAACATCAGTGAAAGAAGCTTTCCCCAAATAAGCTGCGGAAGAAACCAAAACAAAAAGAGAACGAAAAGAGAATGAAGAGGGTGCTATATTTGGCGTGGGCGGAGGCGTTGATGTGGGCGTGCCACCGGCAAACACTGAATTTGTGCGCTTCATGGAAATATTGCACAATTTTATCTTTATTGCTCGCAATGTTGAATCAGTTGGGATAGTCCCTGGAACAAATAACCGAATTCTGTAGAAACGGATTTATCCACGAAGTGAGCAACGTCAGTCTGAATCAGAATCAAGTCGTGATTTTAACAACATATGTCCTCAAATGCGTTCATCTCAATAAAGTTATGTGCACACGCTATTCAGTGACATAAACTAGTGAACATGGTTCCAGTGATATCGACATAGGATCATGACTAGATAGATACTTTCCTATACAAAATGTTTCAATACTTAATGCGACTTGTATGGTTACTTATATTGTTTCCTGTGTAGTTTGGCTCATCATTTCGAGCACACATATACTGCGGAGGCTCATCCAATATCGATTGGGCATTTTGATTGATTGATTGCCGCATATTTTTTGGTCAGCCCTTGAACCATTATCCCATTGTCTCGCCGAGTGACAAATTTGTTCAATTTCCCGCCCATTTATTGTGCCGCCTGGTGTTCCGCATTCCCGGCCAGCTGAAAAACGCTGGACGAGATGCCAGCGTTGTCCCTTGCCAATGACCCAGACCCCCAGACCCCCAGAGCCACTTGAGATATTCCCCTGGCCATGAAATTTTTTGTGCTCTTGGCATTGCGTGAAAATTGCTGGGAAATTGCGAGCTCATCGATAAACTCGAGAGGCTAATTTGAGCTATCTGAGTCGCTCAAAAAAAAGTATCTCAAGTGCTCTGTCCGGCATCAAGTGTTCGTTTATGGAGGAGTGTGAAATTTGGGGACTGAGATGGCCGATCAATAATGTAATTCAATTTCAATTGTACGTGAGCAAGAGCAAAGTGCATTTAAATTTCCGGGCAAATTGAATTAAGATCGCAATTTGGTGCTGGCAGCAGCGCGACCTTTTCTCGAATTAAATCATAAATTATTTCCGTCAAATGCAAAACAAATGAATGAGGTCGAAGGGGAGGAGACAGAGACGTGCACAATTTTGAGCTGTACAATTTTAAGCTCTTTACATTTTGGTCCGCTAAATTAATTTTACCGTGAAAGCTCTGAAATGAAATTAAGCCTGCGTGTCCAGTGGCCAATGACCCACCTCTGCAAACATCCACTATTACGGAGTTCCTCGCTTTTTACCTTTTTGATAGAAATGTGTTAAAACCGACCTTATATAGTGGGGTATAAAAAACAAAAATAATAAAAAAAATAAAATTTGAAATTAAATTCAACAATGAAGAAAGTTGTACGAGATCCCATTAATTTATACATAATTCTACCATTTAATATTTTGTATTTAAAAATAATTTACAATACCTTTCTTGAATATGAATATAAATATAACCCACATTGTTTAAGTCACAAAAACCTTATTAAGCCTTAAATGACTCATAAAAGTCCGCATATATTTAATTCGAATGAAATCAATGGCTTAAAATTCCATATTATTTATTACACGTGACGAAGATGTACAATTTAAATACCCATTATAATATATGGGGGATCCCATTTTGTGAACTGACGTAAAAAGTTACGTAAACAAAAGTTGAAGCAGATTTAACAGATTATTTAATTTAATAATATTGTAGAGTAATCGCAATTGCGGAGAAAACGAGTTTTTGAGTACTGGACATGTGCTGGAACGTTAAGTTCGGGGCTTATAAACATTACACTTTTTCGTCTGCCCATGCAATTAGCAAACAATGCAGGATGAAAAATTCCGGCTTAACGCGTGATATCCATTACAGACATAATGTGAAAAGTAGGGCGGTCAGCGGAAGGGCGAATCAGGATGCCGTGGAGCAGTAAACCCTTTTACCCAATGCGAAAAGCCGCAAAGGAGGGAGCGAAAGGGTAAGAGCAAGGAGAACTCTGCTCCTGGGACCGCTGGCCTGCTCATGCATATGAGCATATGTCGGAAATTGTAACGATTACATGCCGGACACACACATACACAGGAAATGGCGTAGCCATGCAGCCGCCCAACTTGCCACCCACCCGCTGATGATCCTCATTGATTGCTTACAGCTCGGCTTGCGCGAAAAGTGTAGCATACATTACAGCGCAAATTTGCTCTTCCCTACACATACACAGTGCCATAATAATTACCGCATTGCATTGACTCCTTAACGACCCTCGGACAATGATTTAATGCACATTTAATTAAAATAAATACGTCAAGTGCGGCCGGAATCAATCGCCGCTTGACTCCTGTAACTGAACCCCAAATAAGTCATTAAAAGTTTGTTTGCCATGACTTTTGAGGCGATGCAGCACTGCACTTTGCGCCGGGCAAATCCAGCCAAAATGTGGGCGAAGACGTTGACGCTGGCGCAGCTCATTATAAATTTGTTGATGCTGCATATCTGCTTCTTGGGCTCCGGGACTGGCAGGATGGTGGAATGGCAGAATAGTTGGATAGCAGGATGGCAGGATGTGCTGTGCTCGCTTCCTTTCGAGCCATCGAAGCAGAAGCCCAGAAGTAGAACCAGAAGCAGAAGCAGCAGCAGCAGCAGCAGCTCCTTTGCCTTTTTGGCTTGTGCATATCAGCAGCTTTTTATGCTTACCGCAGCTGGTGGGGCGGGGGCGAAACGGATTGGGGGCGGGGCAGTTTTCCGCCGCTCCCCTTTCCGCATTTCCAGCCTGCTGCCTCAACACATTTCATTTTCATCTTTGTGCTCCGGCAGCCGCAGGGAACTTGTCTAAAAATCACGCATAATTTATTTACCATAAACAAGATGAGTAACAAGAAAAGCCGACGATGGCCGCCTGTCAACTGGAATGGGGAAATCAGGCAGAGAAGGGAATGCCACACAGGCAGAGATGGAGGGCGGCAGGACATGGAGGACCTGCTGCGATAAAGTATGGCATAGCATTTTGGAAGCCAGCCCAGATTGCAATAAAAACATCAAAAATGCAACAATGCTGCTGCAGGACAAGCAAATGGAAAACGATGTACAGAAAAGCAAGGACAAGCAATCAGCTGCGAAAAAAGCAAGGCAAAATAAACAAACTAAGCTCGATTGAAGCTGCTGCAGTGCAATAAAATCGCTTTATCTTCATTAAGTCGAGCAAGATATCATTGCAAAAAATAACACACACTTTTGCACAGGGAAGACAAACAAGCGAGCTGGAGCTACCGCATTGAATAATAAATGCAACGAAAATAAAAATAAGAGCACTGCGGAGGAGGAAAGCCGGAGAAAGCCCAAAAAGGGCGGTGGAGATGGCGAACGGAGGAGAAAGTGGCGTGGGCGTATAAAGTACATGACGCAGGGATAAATGGTGGAATCGTGTACACGTACACCAGTACACGGCCGTCAAGGATAAAGGTAGCCGGATGGCAGGTGAAGGGCTGAAAGTGGATGCCACATGCATTGTTGTCCCTGCGTGGGTGTATCTCTTACTCAGTCTGTGCAGTTTCAACTTCATGTCCTCCAAGGACCAGCCATCCCTCCCCTCCCCACACTTCCCCCTCCCCTATTGGGCTCAAACACAAACGATGCGAACCGTGGCGGAATTATTGCAGTCTTAAATGGAATCTACTGGTCACAGTGGCTGCATCCTGACCAAATTACATTTGGGCCTAATGATCAGATATACTAACAGTACTGAAAGCCTAGTACTTTGCCGCCTATAATCGTGGTGCTTTAGGCATTTCGTTCTACAATTCATATTTCATGTAAGACTTTATTCGAAAATTTTTACTTATCTTAAATGGCTAATATCCCCATTTTTACACCCGTTACTCGTAGAGTAAAAGGGTATACTAGATTCGTTGAAAAGTATGTCACAGGCGAAAGGAAACGTTTTCGACCATATAAAGTATATATTTTCTAGATCAGGATCAATAGCCGGGTCGAATGGCCGTGTCCGTATGAACGGCTCGATCCCAGGAACTACAAAAGCTAGAATGTTGAGGTTAGGCATACAGGTTCCAAAGACAGACGCAAGTTTGTTTTCTTACGCCCACACTTTCAAAAAATTTTAAAGTTTTTTTTTTTCATTTTATTACTTTTTTCCCAATTTCTACCGATATTCCAGAAAATGTTAAAATCTCTCGTTTGCACTTTCACTAGCTGAGTAACGGGTATCTGATAGTCGGGGAACTCGACTATAGCATTCTATCTTGTTTCAAGTTTATTTTCTATTGTAAATTGTAATTTGTATCTGGATAACGTGGGCTATTAAAGTCTTATATACACACTTTGGGATTAAAAGTACCTAAAGTACCTTTATGTATTTTTAAGTTTTCTGTTGAAAACTCTTCCCATGTATTATTATTATTAATTTTCCACAATTATTCATTGCCTAACAGGGAGAATGGAACATAAAACCGACTTAACTCAGGCGTCTTGCCTGGCAACCTTTTAATATTCCTTGCAGGCACTCGCAGATTTCCACTTGATGACGTCGGCGATGATATGGTTTTGCCAATGGGAATGGGATTGGTGGAATGAGGGATTTTGGGAGGGAAAAACTTTACCCGCAGGCGATTGTTCTATGCAAATACTATGGACCATTTTCTGTTTGGTGGGTTGGATGGCAAATTGTGAAGTGGTTACAATGCATTTTTATGTGCAAGTGCGCGCGCTAAAAATTTATTGAAAACGAGCAGGAATATTTGCATGAATGAAGATGAACAGAGAGGCGATGCCCCAGATGCTGCAGGTGTGCAGCCAATCAAAAATTCCAGCCCGCCAACAGCACTCAACCCCCAACCCCAGCCCCCACATAATCTCCATATTTTCATTGAGTTTTTGAGAACCATCGGTATTGATTCAAGGCAATCTCTCTGATTTCTTGCAGGCGAAACGAATACAGAGCAATGAGCTGGCTGCCATCAAGGTCATCAAGCTGGAGCCCTCCGACGACATACAGATTATCCAGCAGGAGATCATCATGATGAGGGACTGCCGCCACCCGAACATCATCGCCTACTACGGCTCGTACCTGCGCAGGGATAAACTCTGGATATGCATGGAGTTTTGTGGTGGTGGCAGTCTGCAGGACATCTACCAGGTGACTGGTCCCCTCACCGAAGTCCAGATCGCGTACATGTGCCGGGAGACTCTCAAGGGACTCGAGTACCTGCACTCCATGGGCAAAATGCACCGGGACATCAAGGGTGCGAATATCCTGTTGACGGAGTACGGCGATGTCAAACTGGCGGACTTCGGCGTTTCAGCGCAGATCACGGCCACAATAAACAAACGCAAGAGCTTCATAGGTGAGTGATAGACTTATTCAAGTTTGAGTAATCGACTTTCAAGAAAATATATTCTGGGAAAAATGATTGTTCCGCACAGCAGTTAGCAGAAGAGACATCTGCAATATTGGTTGGCATCAAGGACACTCTCTGATAAAGCCAGACTTTAAGAGGAGGACGGGGTGGGGCAAGGTGTCCTGCCACACAAAGTGTTTATCATTATGAAATTCTGTTTTGTGGCAAGCCGAAGCACCAAAGCAGAAAAATGCGAGGAGAGTGTCCTGACAGGAGCAACAATTGCGTTTAACGCTTCTAAACACTTCTCACCCATGGAGCAGCTGTCAGAAATGACAAAGCACAAATAACAGAAAATAATACAGGAAGGAAAGATGAAAATTAGACACGGCAGGGAAAATCAAGTATACGTCCGAGTGGCTCCCTTTCACAACCACTTGGAAATTTTGTCCATTCCCTGAATGGAGTCTCCAATTGAATGCAATTCAATTAGGAGTAGCATTATAATGGCTCCTGCAAGGAATTCTCAAATATAATCAAAAAGCGATGGCGGCGGTTCCAAAGGGAACAATTCAATTTGAGGAATATTTCAAATGCAGGCGACGTAAAAAATACACAAGAAGCAAAAGGCTGGGGAGACTTACTGGACAAAAAGTAGCTGACCAGCAGGTGGCCAGTCTGGCACATTGTTTGCCATCCTGGGTGGGTACAAAAAAAGGAGGGAGTTTTCCGCCCAACTTTGTTGTCGACGTCCCAAACTGAAGCACAAAAGCAAATAATTTGTGAAAAATGTCCCAATTGGAGAGTCGACGTCTTAGTTCGTTGGCAACATCTTTTGTGGGCTGTTCAGCCTTCAAAGTCGTACTTAACCTTTCCCTCCTTCCACTTTAGCTAAGCATTTTGCCCACTAATAGAATTCAGCTTCTCTGCAGCTTTTCCGCTGCAATGAGCAGCGTTAAGCTGCTTTCCCAATTGCAGTGAAGATATTTGGTAAAAGGGACACACGAAAAATATTAAAAACCTATTGCTTTATTGGAAAATACATAGAGGGTTTATGGAGATAATGATACAAATTTATTTAAGGAATCTTCAAGCCTTTTTGGATGTACTTTCTAATCTAAATTAAAATGCCTGCCAGGGGCTTTAAGAAGATGATGCCAGGGCAACGTGGTGTATACGCAATTTGAATGTAAATAGGAACTTATCAGTCAGAAGCCATGTGCGGCTTAAAAATGGGGGTGGTGGCCTGCAAGGGGTGTAGTTTGTCATGACAACTTGCAATCTAAGGACGAACAGACGAAGCGGCAATGATTTGCATGAGCCACTTTTTTTCGCTCGTCATCGCTGGCACTTTCAACTGCCAAGACTTTGCAAATGAGATTTTGCGGTTACGCGGGGCCATCAGTTAAGCTCCCCAGAAGCTCCACAACCCACTGTCCGCGCACAATTAATTATTTGAAATGCCTTTCGCTCTTCACTTAATTTAAATTCGCGCAACCCTTCATCGGGCCGTTGACACTCGCCAGCTAATTAAGTTATGACAGCTGGCTCTTCACTCTTCACTCACTTCATGTCCTTCATTTTGCCTAAGACAAGAGCCACGAGTCCTGGCGCTAATAAAATCTAAACCAACTTAAGTTCATGACATTTTCTCTTAGTGAATAGCGCTAGCGTAGAAGAAGGGGCATCATAAAAACCGGCGTTTGATTTGATTTCATTTACGCCAAATTGGATTTTATCCTACTCCGACAAAGCAGTTTAATTTTTAACGCCGACTTTTGTCCTTTGAGTCCGTCGTAAAAGCGAAAAGCTGCCATAAAGCTAGCTCCCGCAGCGCTAATTTGATTCCAGATTTATTTCAATGGACAATCCCGCAGTTGGTTGGCAGTGCATGTGATTAATGGACTGCAATTTGTGCAACCAAAAATGCTAACAAAAAGTACGCACTATACTTGCATACACACGTGCAGACAGAACGAAGAAGAGGCAGCTCAACTCTCCAAGTTTAACGACCTTGAGTTTGCCAGGATCCTTTGTTTCCTTTTGGCTCTTTGTTGCCACTTTTGGCTGCATTTTCATGACGTTTTCGAGCTGAGCGAGCATCTTTTGTGGCATGTCAATGTGGCGGAGTGTGCAGTGTTAGTGACAGCGATTCGAGTGGGCTGGGTGGTGGTTAGGTGGCCGATTGTTTGGGATCTCCGTGCCACTATCTTCCCCCGTTTGTGTGAAGCTGTCAAACAATGTGACGTCCGCTTACTGTTATCATTCCGAGTGCTCTTCACTCCTGCTCCACAATGCCATTGTGTCTATGTAGTTGTTGCCGTTTCAGATGTTGTGGCGACTGCTGTGACAAATGCGGTGATAAGTACACACCAACACCAACACCACCACCCACTCACACACGCACATGCACACGCACACCCGCGCTTTTATGCCCCATCCACAATGTCTGCACAGGAGCACGAGGTCAACCTCGAATCGTTTGTTGTACTCCATGCATATGCACATGAGTCAATTGCTGAGCTTCTGTCGATTGTTACAATGCCAGATATTCAGGCTTTTGAGGTTGCATATTTTTGGGCGAACCAAATGTGCACACTGAAAACAAATTTACCGGATTTGAGGTTCCTAATTTCATTGAAATGAAGCAAGAGAAGCAAGAGTCAGTTTTCTGGTCATGGCACCAAAAAGCCACAATCAAGGCAATGTTTTATTTTCTCAGTGAATCTTCGTCCTTGTGGCCAAGATAAACAAACAACTGAGATGAAAAAGGAGTTGGCAAACGGGAAGAGAAAAAACCAGTAGCCCGGTGGGGCGACAGCCTGGCGCTTTTATTATTCAATAAAAAGGTGCTTACGCTTGTGTTTAGTGTCATTAACAAGTCAATGGCAACACACGATGAGCAGAAACTTCCACCTCGGTGGCCCTGAGCCGTACCGCCCACCCATTTCCCGCCCACTTCGCGCATTCAGCCGCAGTTATGCCATAAACATGAATATGCGTATGTGTGCGTGTGCGTGGGATGTCCTTAATGCTTCCCAGTTCGCGAGTTGACGGAAATGCGTCTTGGCATTAAATAGATGCAGAAACCTAAAAGCCTGCCACCATTTGTTTGCTGACATTTAATTCAGCTGCTGCTGTCTGCTTTAATGCCAGTGCGACTTTTTTCTCTTTTTTTTTGCTCCCTTTTTCAGCAATTAACAAAATGATACTTGACTGGCTGTTGTTGCTGTCACTTTGCGGATAATATTGCTTTCCCCACAGTATCTGTGTGTGTGTGTCTTCTCTGTGTGCGTGTGTGCACTTGTTTGTGTTGGCCTTTAATTAAAATGCATGCGAAAGTTCAGTTCAGGGAATTCGCATTGCTTCGCTGCTTTCAATTCAGTCCTTCGATTCCGCATCACTTTGCCGGATCGAAGCTCAAACAAGAGCGAAAACAATGATGATGATGAGGTGATAAAGGAGGAGCGGGCGTTTGGGTTTTCCCCTGGGGAAACCGAAAACCGTAACTTAAACTTGGCCAAGGTATCAAAGAGCCGGCATCAAACGTGATTTTCCACCTTCGTTGTGGTTTAATTAAATTGAAAATACAATTAACTGCCACGACGACTTCCACTCATCCACTTGTCAAGTGAGAGGAAAATTAATTTTCTCGTGGCTGCCATCCATCCAAAGAAACTACTCCAGCAGATGCTGTTACTGCTGTTGCTGTTGCTGCTGGCTCGGCAAAATTGTTGCCTGGCTGCAACATGGCGTATGAGTAATGGACGCATTAGCTCCACTCCTTGTTGCGATCATAAAACGTGCGCCCAAAATGAAGAGAAAATGTGTCGCAAATGCCATTTCCACCCACCCGGCTTTGATTACCACGCTCTGCATAATTCAGCAATTTGTTTATTTGCACAATTGTCACATTGTCGCATAAAAACGCTAATTAAATTAAATAAAATCGCTTTGGATAGCGCAATGAATAAATGATACCAACATAATCGGCGGCAGTGAAATTAAATGTGTGACTGTTGCATAATTAGCTGAGGCAGCAAAACCATATGGGTATCGATAGCCTGGATATTTATATAATCAGTTTTTTAACTCCTCTTTTTTCTTTTTGCTCTTTTTTAACCCATTTTAGGTACGCCCTATTGGATGGCTCCTGAGGTGGCAGCCGTGGAACGCAAGGGTGGCTATAACCAACTATGTGATATTTGGGCCTGCGGCATAACCTCAATCGGTGAGTGGCTCTATTGCATCATTTTTTATGCTGAATAATTTTCTAATATTTTCACATTTTTCTGTCCACCATTTGACAACAGAACTGGCTGAATTGCAGCCGCCGATGTTCGATTTGCACCCGATGCGCGCCCTATTCCTGATGTCCAAGAGCGGCTTCAAGCCGCCCACTCTGAACAACAAGGACAAGTGGAGCCCCACGTTCCACAACTTCATCAAGACGGCGCTGACGAAGAACCCGAAGAAGCGACCCACCGCCGAGCGCCTGCTGCAGCATCCCTTCGTCCAGGGCGAGATGTCCTTGCGGGTGGCCAAGGAGCTGCTGCAGAAGTACCAGAGTCCCAACCCGCAGTTCTACTACTATCTCGATGGCGATGAGGAGGTGAGTGCTGGCCTGGCCCCCACTGGGCAGGAATGGGGTCAGCTAAGTCTGGGGCTGGCAGCAGCCACTTGGCACCTTTTGCGTAATTTATTTACGCTTTTAGTGCGGCAAAGCTGAGGGGCAAATGCAAGGGGAAAGTTTTCCCAAGCTAAAGCTGAGAAGACCAGGAACTCTTCAGCTGTGTTTTGTTTCGGGATTGGTCAACGATTTAGTGCGCCATTAAACACTTTCGGCAGCCTTATGTTTCTGGTCCTGCTCCTGCTCTCGACCCAATTAATTGGCCGCCAAAGTTGGTCGAAACTAATGCAGCTGTCTAGACTGTTGGTGCCTAAGCCTATTTAACGACACTTGCAAATGCGAAATCAAATTTAAGTTTAATCGCTTCACCAGCAGGGACGGCCATTTTAAAGACATTTTCATGGCTTCCTTACAAGTCATAAATCTTCCATTTGCTTGGATGTTTTGACAAACTTTTAGCAGCCGGTGGCAAATAAGTTTCCCCGTCCTTAGATATTCAAATTTTACTTAGCTCGCTTACTGAGCTGCAAAAAAATAACGCATCACGCTCAAAAATCCCAATATGACTTTGATTTATGAGATTTTATCGCAGCCAGAAAATTTTGTCGCCGACTGAGTGACGATGGTGAAGGTCCATTCTGAAAGTGTGAGTTTTAAAGTTTTCCTTTCCCATTTTTTTACTTTTCAGTCTGTGGCCGGAGTGCCGCAACGCATTGCCAGCAAAATGACGTCACGCACCAATGGCGTGCCAGCGCAAAATCACACACTAAAAACAGGTGAGCTTATGGGTGAAATCTTTAAAAATCAGTAAAATAAAAGTTTATGACTGGATGTGAGTCCAAAACTTGAAGGTTCCTAAACAGTTTCATAGCTTGCAATAAATGTGTTGTTTATACGTGCAGGATTGATGTGGTGCGCTTCGTCACTAGCTGTATGCATAGTGCTTAAAGCGTTCAAAAAATCGATTTAGGAACTTTTGCCCAAAACAACTTATGCATAATTATACCGTTGTGCATATACTATAATGAAAATAATGCCAATCTCAATTTCTTCCAATTTTCCTCCTTCAAAGGCATGACGACGAACTCCACGTGGAATGAGCGATCTTCTAGTCCCGAAACGTTACCCAGTGACATGTAAGTGCCGCCGAACCTCCTCCCACTGCTTTTCTCTCCGATTTGCCTGGACCTATGCTACAGTTTTGTCTATGGTTTTTCTTACTTGCGAGGCGGGTTAGATCCGCTTCAGTTTTGGTACTTCGGTTTCAGTTCACACACTATCTCACACAAACAAAACAAAAACACACACACTCCGCTATGTACATACACTTGTAAGCTTGTAAATGTTGTCTGTGGATTCAGCAGCTTTAAACTCACCCAGATCCATTTGGAAATTTTCCCACAGGGTGTTGGGAGCATCAGGCGAACCATTGGCCCAGCCATTTGGTAAACATTTCTATAGCCATTTCTACGTTTTTCTCTTTCTGTACTTGTAGTCCCAGCGCCGAGCGATCAAAACCGAAATTGAGCGGCACCCTGATTATGAACATGTCTTTAAGGTTAGCCAAAATAAGGGGCAACATTGCAGCTGCTACACTGCACCCGAATGGCATTGCATGTTGCGCTTTTTATGCTGGCCAAAATGGAAACTTAAGGCCACAGCACGCGTCCTGTGTAATTTGCTCGAAACTTTGGGTTACTGCACAGTCAATTTTTTAGTTGCACGTTTCTGGGGAGCGAGCTGTGTTTACTTTCCTATTTTGCTGCTGCATTTTCATGTGTATATGGCTGCTACACACGCTTGCGCTTAGTTGCAGCTACGTGTCTCTGCCCCGGAAAATTCCGAGCTTGTGCATTTTTCATCCACTCCACGGACGAGTGGCAAATCCCAGCACCCAGTCCCTTACTCCATTCTCGGATGTATAATTGCAACCTGGCTTCCACGATTCCCCAGGCGGGCTTCAAACTTGTGGGCTATTTAATTGCCAGCCAGAAGTAATTACGTCAGGGGAAAAAACCCTGCCAAGTATCCTGCAACATAATAATAATAAGCAGTCTTCAGCTCCCCGTATCCCAGAAACTTGCAAGAAAAGTCCTATGAAAAATTGGGGCTACAGCTACAGATAGATGGCAGAACTTGAAACTAGCTGGGAGCAGTGAGCTGTAAGCAGTGAGCTGTGAGCAGTGAGTGGCATGTTCTGGGGAGCAGGCAAAAGTTCCAAGAAATCAATTAACGCAACAGCTAACTGGAGCGGGAAAAGCGGAGGATAGATGGATGCCACATCAAGCATACGCCGAGTTGGCACGCAACTGCAGCTTCAATATGTCAAGTGCAGAGAGAACAAAGCTAGCTGGGAAAAGTGGGAAAATTAGATCTCAGAACTTCACAAATTAACAAAAGTTTCCTTAATAATAGGTTTTTAAATATAATAGGGATAAAACTACTTGATTAAATGTAAAAACCAGCGATTTAGAGCATCTAAGTTTTAATTAACCACTTTGCTAGCAAATTTTCGAGAGCTTCTATGTAAAATGATTTTTCTAAGTGTGCTAGACGAATGAGGCGCCATTTGTCATTTTAAACGATTACACATTGTTGGCCTCCAATGAAGGGGAGTGGCACGTTTAATAAGCCCTCCTCGATGATGGTGGGTTGCATGGTGGCATGGTGGCATGGTGGGTCGCAAAACGGGAGTCTGGAAGTGCTCGATTTGAGTTATGTGGCAAACACTTTGCGGCAGCCGCCACCCGAGTGGCGTCGCAGACAACAAAGCCAAGTCACTCTGTCTATATGCATGCGATAGCGCCTCCAAAGGGCTCCCCTCCCCTCCCCAATTTTGGAGCCCCTCGAAAGAAGCCCACTTTCGATGCCGATGCCCAATTTTATTGAAGCCATAAAAACGGCTGCGCCAATTTCGATGTACTGAGCGCTACTTACAAGCGACTTGCTGGCTAAGAGCCACGCCCCCACCCCAGAAATACGCCCACATCCGGTGGCTTGTGGCGCCCGAAAAGTTTTCAAAAGCTGGCTCGTCTTACGCCTTTCTTTCTCCTTGGAGCCGCTCGACCGTCATGGTTAATTTCATTTAAACCGTCATAAGCAGAAAGTATAACAGGAATTTATTTTGTTTTATTTTTTGTTTTTTTCTTTTTGCGGCGAGAGGGCCAAACAAAAAAGGGAAAATTATTAATTGCCTAGGCGGCGGAGGAAAAAGATTATAATGGGAGAAAATGGGGTAAGGAATGCCACTTTTTTAATATCCCGTTTATGGGCTGCTTTTTAAGTGGAGAAATGGGCTGCGCCAGATGACATTAGGCAGAATTATGAACATGGCAAATTAGCTGATGCGTTTAATTGGCGTTAGGACTGTTTGTCATGGCCTCAAAGGATAATGATTTAAGTTTAACACGCATACTCGTACAAAAAACCAAAACCAAACAAAACAAAACCCCGTTTACAACAACACACTGTGATATTTACAAGTTCTTGAGATTATTAATACTTTTGCTGTGATCTGAAAGTAGCTTTAGTTTTCTATTTGGGGCTACCAAATAATTTTTCGAAACTAACTTTTACTTTCCTACTTTTGTATTTTGTTCCACTTTTTTCTTATTGCAAACTAAACACAATGAAATTTTCTGTTTATTTTATTTTTTCCTTTTTTCGTATCTTTGTTTTTGTATTTGATTTTTGTAGGAGCCTCTTACAATATATTGATGAGGAGCTGAAGCTAAGGTAACTACACCCACCAATGTATTCCTTTAGACTCGAGCCTCGGCTCTCGGTGTGTCCAACTCCTCAAACAACCACACCCCTCACCTAGATCTAGCTGACCCACACTAACCCATCATATCTCATACTTTACACTCATAAGCACTGCCACGTATACACTGAAAGAAATATGTACCTATCGGTCTGCGAAATAATGCCAACTGCGAATTCATCATCTCTAAACTGAATAGTACAAGTCTTTATATTAGAACTAGCTCGGATAAAGCCTTACTCATAATCTTTAAGCTTCACACAAAAGTGTGTAAAAGTATGCAGCAGAAAATTAATTTTGAGGCTATGTGCTAATAATACCTGTATTTTAAAGGACAATTGCCTATCTTTCATTGCATACTTTTAGACATCTTTTAGTTTCCGTTTTCTGTAACTCCACCATATCTTAACTAAAGACCTCCGTGATTGTTGAAATGCTTTTCTCTCTCTACACGAATTCTTCATTTGACTTTGATATAGCATTAAGTTTATCTCGGCAAGGGAATACGTTATTTTTGGTTCTTTTTCGCCACCGCCCCTGTGTGCACACCCATGCAAATGAGTGTTTGCCATCCTGGCAGCCGTCAGATGCCAAACCACACCCACACACACGCAAAGTCCTCACCGCCAGAGCAGCTGCATCATTATCATTATGAACCAGGAGCAGCAGCTCGTCTTGTGGCCACCTAGGTTTATTACCGGCCATCTGCCCGGCCCATCCCATATAGTCCATACCCGAAAAAAGATGCTACATTTTCATTAGGTTTTTTCCTTTCGGCTCGTTCCGCGTCCATTTAAACCGTATTAAGTTACGGTTGCTGTTCCTCAGCCATCTTATAAGTTAGTTCTTCTTGTGGCCCTCGCATTCTTTGTTTGCCCAACTTCTTTGTTTTGCCGGTTATTGTCTGGGCGAGGCTTTGTTCACTTTGGCCTCTTATTCCGCCTAACTTTTGCTTTGTCTATCGATGGAAAGCCGTGGGGAAAAGCGAGGAATTTCGAAATATAGAGGGAGCAAATATAAAATATCCAAACAAGAAGGAAAAACGCACGTTGAGCATACGCACCGTGGGACGCCCGAAATATGACCCCTTCGATGGCTCAATTATTTGGCCGGACGCAAAACCAGAAAAGCAGTTCTCAACTAATTTATACGGAACAATTGGTTTATATTTTTCGGGCAGAATTTATACATCGATGGGTCGCCATGAAAATCGCTCGATTTGTCCTGCCTTCGGACCCTTTTTCCCATGTTTATTGTTTATTTATTTGATGTGTGTGCAAATGGCCGTCGCATTGCTTTTATTGTTATTATTATTATTGGACAGCCAAGTAGTGCCACACGTAGTGTTGATTTGTCCAACCCAGGATCCGAAATGCTCTGAAATATGCAGCATTATTGGCCATCGCAGTGATTGAGGAGATTTCGAGGGGTCTAAGCTGTCTTGGCCTTCGGAAACAAGACGATGGAAAACAAATTGCAATTATGCTAACATCAACTGAAAACTAATTCAGAAAACTAATTCGGCAAATGGAAATGGGATTCCTTGGGCCAAGTTTTCGTCTTGCCCTCATCGCAAGCAGCTGATGAGATTTTCCAGCAAATTGTGTTTGTATTTGCTTGATTCCGACTTGTTTTATTTGGCCAACATTCCTGGCATTTTGTTTTTAGAATTAATTTTCCAGGCTTTTTTTGTATTTCTCTTTTTCATTTTTTTTTCTTTTTTTTTGTAAATTTTTTGCTGCTGTTTTTTTGTTTATTGTTTGTGTTTACTTCCCATGCTCTTTCTGTTTCTGTGCATTCATGTGCGAGGCAATTTTCTATTCAAGCATTTTCCATTTTCATTTGCGTGTGTGATTGTGAATGTGTTGCGATGTGTTTTGTGTATCTTTGAGCATTTGTGTTTTGCATCTCATGCATAATTTATGGCATCATATTAGTTCATTTATTTATTTATTTACCTTGCGTCCAATAAAAAAACAACTACCAACTAGGACACCAATAAGTGGGCTTAACCCTCGCGGGTGGTGAATAATTTCATTAAAAGCGTAATCCGCTTAACACTCTACTGCCACCCTTGCGGTTTGGCCCATCGGGAGTTTATCAATTCGATTGCATGCCACAAAAAGACACACAAACACAGACAGGGAACCCCAAATGCATGCCAAACAGGATGAGCCGGGGGTCAGCTCCTCCTGCCTCCTGCCTCCTCCACACACGAAACTCGAACTCGAACTCGAACTCAGCCACCACAACAGAACCACCCACCCAATCACGCAATCACCATCCCCCCGAACAACAAGAAATCGAAAAGCTATATAGCCATATAGTGTTTACCTAACCGATCGAAGAAGGAAGCTCAACATCTCGGCTCTCTTTTCTCTCTCTCGCCTCTCTTCTCTTGATCTCTCGATTCCCTCCGCTTGTCTGAAACGCTCCGCAGAGCGACCTTGCCACTGAACAACGACACCAAAGATCCACTCGCCGCCGAGTGCAGCTGCTCCTCCCACAATGGAGGAGCCGCCGGAGGAGGAGGAGGAGGAGGAGTAGGAGCAGGCGGGGCAGCCGCGAACGGCAGCAGCAGCAGCAGCGGAGGCGGAGCAGTCGGCACCACTCATCATCAGCACCAACAGCACCACCAGCATCACCACCATCCGAATCATCTGCATCAGCATCAGCCTCATCAATTGCCGCCGCAGCAGCAGCAGCAGCAGGCACATCAGGCGACGCAGCAGGAACACCATCACCACCATCCAATGACCTCGTCCATATCCAGCGGCTTGGTGTCCGCCAATGCCAACAGCATCAGCTCGTCCGCCTCGCTGGCCTCCATGCCAGGTCTCACTGCCTACCTGGGCATGCGATCCCATGTGGTTGGCCACATGGGTATGGGCTTTGGCATGGGTCTCGGCCTGTCCAACCTGCGCACCACCAGCATCGATGCCGACGACGATGAACTGGTGGCTGCCGATGTGGCCATGAATAATGCTGCTGCCGCCGTTCCTGGGAACGGATCCGGTGCTGGCAACGGTTCCGGATCCGGATGCTCCGCCTCTGCGGCGCACTATCTGCGTTACAGCAGCAACTACCGATCAGCCGCCGCGGCTCAGGCATCGCAGGCGGCACATCCGCACGTTAACTCCAATTCGAATTCGAATTCGAACAACGGCCATGGCCATGCGCCGATCACATCCAGCATCTCGTCCTCTGCGTCATCAGCTTCGTTTTATAATCGCCTCCTACTCCTCGATAATTCCAGCGGCGATGCAAATGTAGGCGGCAACGGAGGCGGCAGCAGCAACATTAGCAGCAGCGGAGGAGTAGCAGGTGGCACCAATGGCCTCCTGGACAAGCACGAGCTGGATGCTCTTCCCCAAGCGGCTACAAAGTCGGCCGGCGATGGCTTCTCGCATTCCAACAGCCCAGCGACGAATTCCGGAGCGGGAGCGACCGGATCCAGGGATAACGATGGACCCTCGTCGAGCAACTCCTCGCATCTCTACCAGAACCTGCTGAGGAGCAGCTCTGGAGAAACGCCAGCGGGAACGAGCTCGGCGGGCAATAACTGTGATTACCGGCATGAGAGCAACCAGGTGAGGAAAGAAAACTTATTAAATTGGTTCAGCTTTCAACCACATCTATATTAATTCGCAGAATGGTCTGGAGGACTCGCCTCGACGCCATAGCTCCATGGATCAGCTGATCGGGCTGCTCGAAAACATGGGCAAGTCTTCGAGGACACGCAGCCTGAGCGATGGTGGCACCCAGGACGACGACGAAGGTAAGTGCATGTGCAATACCCACTGAAAGCGTAAATTAATGATTTTCCTCTCTATAAAACACAGCGGAGAAGGAGGCGCAACCGGATCTGCTGAACAACACCCCACCGGTGCCACCGAAACGCTCCCACAAACGCCGTCACACGCCGCCTCGACCCATCTCCAACGGACTGCCGCCCACTCCCAAGGTGCACATGGGTGCCTGCTTCTCCAAGATCTTCAACGGTTGCCCGCTGCGGGTGCACTGCACCGCCTCGTGGATCCATCCGGAGACGCGGGACCAGCATCTGCTGATCGGCGCCGAGGAGGGTATCTACAACCTCAACATGAACGAACTGCACGACGCGGCCATCGATCAGTTGTTCCCGCGCCGCACCACCTGGTTGTATGTCATCAAAGATGTGCTCATGAGTCTGTCTGGTGGGTACCCGATTCCAGCTTCATAGGATTAACTTATACATAGCCCATTGTAATCCATTTTTCAGGGAAATCCTGCCAGCTCTACAGGCACGACCTGGTGGCCCTGCACTCCAAGCAGACGGTGCGCTTCTCGCTGCACATGAACAAGATCCCGGAGCGACTGGTGCCGCGCAAGTTCGCTCTGACCACCAAGGTGCCGGACACAAAGTGCTGCACACAGTGCTGTGTCACACGGAATCCGTATAACGGATACAAATACCTGTGTGGAGCGACGCCCAGCGGCATTTTCCTGATGCAGTGGTACGATCCACTGAACAAGTTTATGCTGCTCAAGCAGTGCGAGTGGCCAGCCATCAGCATTCAGGGCGGAGGTCACGGCTGCGTCCAGAACGGGCACACACCCGTATTCGAGATGATTATCACGCCGGAATTGGAGTACCCGATTGTGTGCACGGGTGTGCGAAAGGCCATGAACGGCTGCCTCAAGCTGGAGCTGATCAACATGAACAGTGAGTGCAAATCGTGGTTGCAAATCGAAGATAATCAAGCATAATGGCATTCCGTAATTGCAGGTGCCAGCTGGTTCCACTCGGAGGACCTGGAATATGACGCCATGGCCACGATGGTGCCGCGACGCGACCTGCTGAAGGTGGTGCGTGTGCACCAGGTGGAGAAGGACGCCATTCTGGTCTGCTACGGCAATCTGATTCAGGTGGTCACCCTGCAGGGCAACCCCAAGCAGCACAAGAAGATGGTATCGCAGCTCAACTTTGACTTCAACGTGGACAGCATTGGTAAGCGATTGCATATCCGCATTCACAGAGGACATGCCCTGCATTGTGTGAATCGATTTCAGTTTGTCTGCCGGACAGCGTTTTGGCATTCCATAAGCACGGCATGCAGGGAAAGTCGTTGCGCAATGGCGAGGTGACGCAGGAGATCAAGGACATGAGTCGCACCTACAGGCTGCTGGGCAGCGATAAGTATGGACACATTGGATTATTGTTCTTCAGAACTCTTTAGTAACGCGATACCTATATTCCCAACAGGGTTGTGGCCTTGGAGAGCCAGCTGCTGAGGACCGGCTCCCTGGGCAGCGAGGAGGGACACGATCTGTACATTCTGGCCGGGCACGAGGCTAGCTACTAAGCTAATGGGCGCCCGCCCAATCCACTGTTATATTTTAAATATAATCCGGTTCACCACACAAGTTTTAAGGGCCGTCGCCGCCGTCGTCGTCAACTATTAACTGTAATTTAATTACTCGTAGGCTAAGCAGTGAGTTCACTGATCATAGATGACTAGAGAGAGCCAGTTGCATGTCGAGCGTTCGATAGCTTAGATTAGCGCAATTTTACAGCACCTAGAGGAGGCGGTCTTCGAAGAAGAGATCCACACTACCATGCACACTGACGGGGATACTCGGCCCGAATCGCTATCTTTAGATCTGCCGATCACTCGATATATTGAACGTCTGCGTCTACCCGATTCCGTTGTAGCTATATTTTTGTATTACAAACAAATGCTTTAATTTATACAACTAACTTTAATCGCTACGTATAGTTATGTTAGAGATTTGTGTAAGCGCTTCACAAAGCCAATAGATACGTTTCCAAATAGTCAGCCAGCAGGAGAATTCAAGTATACATACACTTAAACACACAATTATCCACACGATTCGAGAACCACTAAGGCAGTTGGAACTAAACAATTATATTTAGTCTATAGCAATTGTAAATCGCAATGTTTTTAGCTAACCAGCCGGTTAAACTGCTTTCGATTGGCTCAAAACCGCAACGGAAAATCAAGAACGAGGAGTTGAAGGATGCGATATAGGATGATACGGTTTGTTGGGAAACAAAACTAGTTAGTAAGACTTTTCTAACCTAGTAACACGAATTCAAAACAAAATAAATGCAATTAATGGTCTGTATCTGTATGTTAAACAAGTAAACTGATTGTCATAGTTACGGTTCTAGGCTATAAGATAAGCGATGAAAACAGACAACTTTCCGAACAGCACTTTTTGTCGATTGAGTTGTATAAATATTCTACTAGATGCTAAGTTATTTAGTTCATACGACAAAGCAAAAACCGAAAATTACAAACTAATACAGAGAAAAACAAACAGAAGAACTCACAAAATTGTTGAACTCTAGCTTAGTGCAAAAATAAAAAATACGTGAAAGAAATGCTCTTCTATTTGCTTTGCCTACCTTTTTTAAATATCTTCAGGAGAAACTTTGTGTACTATGAACATTTTTTGAATATCCCGCCAATTTTTGTGAAAACGCGTTAGGGATTTCTCAAATAGGCACTTGCGTCGTTTTCGAAAAATACGGTAACTCCATACGGGCTTCACGTGTTTCTCGATTTGTTTACAATTTTCCGCCGCAAAATGCAGCCTTTTGAAGTGCCGCCCTGGGAGGCAGGTGCCGAAATCATTGAATTCAAGCCGGTGAATCCCACAGGGAATGGAGTCGCTGCCAAGAAGCCAAAGAAGAAGAAACCCAAAAAGAAGAGGGCCGCCGTGACGGAAGAAAATCCCAATGTGAACAAGGCAGCTGGAAAATTCACTTACCGGCAGGGCGGCGGACCACTTGCCCCGCCCCGAGACTCCTCGGATGATGATGACGATGACGATGATGTGGAGGATGGCATCCGGGCCATGCATAAGGTGAAGTCCGGCAGAATCGAGAAACAGCGAGCGCCAACGCAGGCCACAAAAGGTGGCAAAAAGGAACTGAAACTGAAACCTGAACTGGCCCACGCGGCTGTGGAGGCCATGGAAGCCACCAGCTCATCGACGCCGACTGCGAGCTCTCTGGCCAGTAAGCTGCAATCGGAACTGCTGGGCGGACGTTTCCGGTACATCAACGAGCAGCTTTACTCGACGACCAGCCGCAAGGCGGAGGCACTTTTCCGCAAGGATAGCTCCGCCTTCGAGGCCTATCACGCTGGCTACCGTCAGCAGGTGGAGAAGTGGCCCACCAACCCGCTCAATCGCATCATCAAGACCATCAAGAAGGTACCCAAAACAGCCATAATTGGGGACTTTGGTTGTGGAGAGGGCAAACTGGCACAATCCGTGCCCAACAAGGTGTACTCCATGGACTTGGTGGCAGCCCGTAGCGACATCATTGCCTGCAACATCACGGACACGCCACTCCAAGCTCAATCTCTGGACGTGGCTGTATACTGCCTCTCACTAATGGGCACCGATCTGAACGAGTTCTTCCTGGAGGCCAATCGAGTGCTCAAGCTGCACGGCAGTGTCTATATAGCGGAGATCCAGTCGCGATTCGAGGATGTCCGGGAGTTTGTTCGGTGCCTGAGTGCATGTGGATTTGATCTTATCAAGAAGGATGTGGCTGTTAACTATTTCTACTTCTTCCAATTCAAGAAGATGCGTCATGTGCCCAAGAACACCAAGCTGAAGGCTTTCTCTCTAAAACCTTGCTTGTATCGCAAGCGATAGGGTGTTAGTTATCCTATTCAAATTAGTAGATTTCCGACTTTGCGAACTGTTGAAAATCCAAGTCAGAGAATTCTCTTATAGGTGTTACATTAACTTAATGTAGAAAAAATAACAATAAATTTTGAATTTTAAGAAATGTGTGTTCGCTATTTTTACTTTTTGTCTATCTATCTTTCGCAATACAAATTTAATTTAGCCCCTAAAATGTATGATAAGAAGTGATTTAAAATTAAAATCGTAACCCCCTTAGTTTTATTTGGATATTAGCGACACAGATTTTCAAAGATTTCTCAAAATATTAAAATCACTCAAATTTTCAATAAGGCCGCAAATAATTTTTACAAATTTACCTATTGAAAAGTAAACATTCTTGTATCTAGAAAGCATTTAAATTAATAATTACTAGCGATATTTAACAACCGTGGCTGATGCTAATGCTATAAACATTTAAAAAGCCAACCGAACCACTCAAATGAACCACCGACATTTGCCAACACTGCAACCACTTGGTGGTGGTTGTTTCTCAGCAAAACTCAGTGGTCTCAACCGAAATAGACTCAAATCCAAATGGAGAGGCGGAAAATGGTTGGCTCTCAGTCTTTTTAGTTTTCAGTTTCAGTACCAGTTTGCTCTTCGTGCACAGCACATCGAATATTTGTGAAGACGGTACGTTTTGTGTGGATCGCGCTGCCAGAATTCTTAGAAGATTTGTTGTTTGCCAGGCAGCATAGTAATTGCAAAACGGCGAGGAGCGGATCGAAAAGAAAAGCGCGCAATTCGGCAGCTGTGTGTTTATAAATAAAATGGGAAATTAATTTATTAGCAACCACTATTCGCGCATTTTCCGCCCACGCCCACCCCGCTCTCTATTTTACCCCTCCCCCGCATTCCCACACCCCTGGAACTCCCACTCTTGCGTTCTCTATTACTCACTCAAAGAAACTCAACGTCAAATTTTCAACAGGTATTCAACGACGACGACGACAACAACAAATTGTCTTTTTTCGCGAACGAATAGAAAAAAGTGGCAAGAATTTGTTTACTAGTGTGAAAGCGAGTGAGTGCAGTGCCCACGGGAGAAAAGTGAAAACAACACAAATACAGGAGTAAAACGCAGTCAAACGCCAAGAAGCCAAACTAACGGTACCTACGTGTCCTTGCTGTGGATTAATAAGGATTCCAGAGTCGTCCCAAGTGGGTGAGTACAATTTGGGGATTGCGACATAGGGTAATTACACTTTTAGTTAATTTTTTCTTTTGGGCTGTGGTCGGGAGTTTTTGGTGGCTTTATGTTTTCGATACCAACACAAGCGCAGACTGACTTGGGCAGTATGACTTCATAGCACACACCACACGCACACACACAATCGAACGCTGAGTTAATTGAGAGCAGCTTTGAGAGCGGGAGCGAAAAGAGAGCCGCACTCACTCACGCGGCATTTGTAACTGCGTATCTGTATCTGTGAGCTGTCAAGCTTTTCGAGTGTATCTTTTGGCACGATATTCTTTCGACTTCTTGTTTTTGTCAACTCGGCCCAGCTCTCTTTTGCTTTTGCCTCTGTCTTTGCCTTACTCCAATTTTCCTTCTTCTGTGTTTTCCTCGTTTGCTTCGCATTTCGGGGCGCAGGGTGGGAAATTCTTATTGGGCCCGCGGTAGTCAAGGAGACGTTCCACAACACCGATCGGATACAAATGTATCTCAAAGTAAGTTTCGTTTAGCAGTGAACTATAAAAAAGGGGGCAATACTACAACCACTCTGTAGTGAGTAGTGATTCTTATGCAAATTAGTTAGTTAGTATAGCTAATAGTTAATTTTATGGAAACTCTCTTAAAGCAATAAATTCAACTGTATCTTTTAGATACGAATGTGGAAAGGTATATACATTATGCACAATCACTTTTAACATTTACGCAGATTGAAAAGCTTAAAATTATTATGAATAGGAAACCTCTTCAGTTCAAATATTTATCAAATTTTAATAATATTTCTCTACTTAAGTGTATTTCATATGGGGGCAAAAACACAGCGAAAAGAAAAAATTCCTAGAACTACACACTTTGGTAAACTAATTCATTTTCATCTCTTTCTCTCGCCTATATATAATTTTGGAATTTTGTCGCATTCATGTGGCATACAGTTTCATAGGGTGGCCAAATTCCCCAAGCATCAAGACGTCACTGCTCCCAAAATAGAATCGATCGGGGTTGCGACCAGGTTTCCGCACTTCTTATCAAAGCATTGAGCGTTTTTTGCATTGGCACTTTTGATATGTTTCATATCGGCTGGGGTAAACGACTACGGTTCTTTATCCCAGCAAAATGGTTGAGATAAGATAAGGACACCACAACAAAGGCCAGTTATGAATGGCAGGTGACTGGTGGCGATATTTCAGGTGCCCCCTCAACCCTCATCCACTGAGTCATGGCACGATTTTCACCATCCCCGGAAAACCTGGGGCGTTGACTTGGCAACCAAAAAACCGTTCTTCGAAAACCGCTGTTTACGTGGAGTCTTTTTTCTTCCACTTTTTCCGGGAGGTGTGGGCTTTGACCCAAATATAGTAGCAAGAAGCATTAACATGAAGACTTCGTCTTCTTGGCCAGGCCATGCAAAGTGGGAATGGAAACGAAATGGGTAACGTGAGGTTGAGCTTGCATTAGAAAAAAAACCGGTTGTTGCTGTCCAAGAAGTTGGCTGCACAGCAGACAAACAGATAAAGCAGCCGAGCAAAGCAAACGAGGAGTGGCAGCCAACTGAATGCCAATAACTGTACAACCAGCGAGTGGAAAACTATACTACAAAAATCTGGAGAGTGAGAGAGTTTCGGTTTCGGAGGCCTAACGACTTGGCAGCACGCGAATGAACATGGCTAAAAAATAAAATGAGTCGAATCAGAGCCCCCTCGAAAACCTGAATTCGAACACGAGTCCGAACTCGAGCGTTACCAACTAGGTGTGTCTTCCAGCGTTAGAAGCTCCCAGAGAGCGTCTCTCCGAATTCTCTCGGATTCTCTCGGCGGAAAACAGAGCCTAAGCCCCACCAGCGATTTTCCAGCGTGGCCAGATCGCTGTTAAGATGGATCTCAACTACTACGAGTATGCACTACTTAATATCTTAATCTGTGTGAATCCTCTCTAAAATCGCCAGCTATTCTTAGTTCGCCGGAGATTTCCTCCCTCCTTCGGCGAGGGAAAAACCAATCTAATCGTGCAACAAACTTAATCGGATGGAAGGCAGCTTTTCCAGCCCCCTTCGAGCCAATCAGTTCCCCTCTCACACCCCCTACTTACATACATACATTTGAGTATGTGCCCATTGGATTTTCCGTTTTCTATTTTTATTCCTTGTCGCATCGATTTTTACTTCTGCGGATGGGGCGCCCATAGGTCTATGATTAATGTGCCAAGCGCTGAAGTGGACAAAATGCTCCTCGAGGGCGGCTTGTTTGTTTACTTTCGCCGCCCTTCGCGACATTTTTCCCCCGCCTGCCGGGCAGAAATCAAATCGCGACGTGCATGTGGGTGCGTCATCACAACACCCGGATAAATATTTGTATAGAAGAGCTGGTTATGTTCCACTAAAATGAATATCTATAGCAAAAAGCCAAGACATTTTTTAAAAGGGTTCCACTATTTAATTGGTTCAGCTTATATTTTACGGTGTAGAAGTGCAGTCACTCTGGATGCATTCCAGAGTTCGTTGGCCAGGCGGA